CAAAAAAATTCGATCATGGATTACAAAAAAATCGATCAAGTATTACAAAAAAATCTATCATGGATTACAATAAAAATAAAAAATAAAAATAAAAAAAATTCCGTACGGACTCGCCGATTCCGTACAGTGAATCGGCGATTCACTATACAAAATCGTCCGGTTCTCTCTAGAACCGGATGATTTCCGATTTTTTAGGCGATCCGGTCCCCTTTTCACGATTTTCGAGTCGAACAGGGCGAGTCCTGTTCGACTCGGCGTTTTTTAAAACACTGCTTTTTAATCAAGGAAACGACCACATTTTTAGAATATGTTATAATACGTGGTCCAGAGGTATTTTAAGATGGATCCAAATAGGTGTTCCATCTAAACATAGTAACTAACGGTTTAAATATCTTTTTAATATAATTATTATTTTTAGTTTAATTTTTTTTTTTATTTTTCATATTCATGATCTCCATGTTAAAGATTATTTATTTTCTAAAATTTAGGAACAAAGTATGTTTTAAAAATAAATCTATTGCCAAGCCTGCATTTCTACAATATGCGGGTTGGCTGCATGCTAACCGTGCCCTTCAAACAATAGATCAGTGACATGGATTCTGCACCCAAAAAACCGATTCGAATTGGTGAATCGGCGGGCCAGATCATCGTTGTATTGTTCGAAAACAATAGTGAGCCAGCGAAAAAACACATGAAAAAATAGTGAACCGACAAAAAACCAGTCTGGATCGATCAATCAGTGGTCCCAATCAGTGAATCAGTTGTTTGGATCGTTGTTTTGCTGTCGAGAATCAACGTTTTACAGTGCGGAACTGCCAGTTCCCTTATAGACTCGATCATTTTCCTATATATGCATATTACATAGAACTGGAATGAGATGTCCGATTCTTGGGTCGGACCGGGCGAATAGCGGAGCGATTTCGTGCCGACCCAGTGTTTTTTAAATCATTGCTTTTAAGAGAGCATTTCACTCTAGTCATATTCTAAAAAATGGATTAGTGATTCGAATTGGGCACCCCAAAACCTAGTCTGGATAGGTGGATCGATCGTATCGGTCAAATGCAACCTTTAAAATTTTCAAAAAAATTATTAAAATATAATTATAAATGTTGTTTGTTAGGATTCCAATAAAAAATGGAGTACTACATCATTGACTTTCATTGTTTTGCATCAATATGTGAATATTGAGATGTTGTTTCCTATATAAGTTGTTAACCATTAAATTAACATGACACAAAAGGAGCATAAAATTATCCGGAATGAAGTATATAATCATACATGGACTACAATATAAAGCATACAATTCTTCTAATATGACCTACAACCAAAATGAAAGATGATGCCATTTTTCATCTTGGTCATGTTGTCTCCATCATTGAATTGGTGAGGCAATTCATTGACTACATATATGAACCAATCATCCACATTAGTGGCCAGCTGACTATACTCAAATCCCTCAGTATTAGTAATTTGTTGTGCTCCTAGTCCAAACATCTTGAAGCTTGCCCATCATCCTCACCCCCACCGTCATGCTTGCCCCCACTAGGGCTGGCAGTGAACCCAGACTTGGACCCGACCCAACACCCAACGGGTATACCCGACATAGGCAAGTTTTGGACTCGTGAGTAGGGTCTGAGTCCAATAAATGATACCCAGGTAGTCCCGAGTCTGGGTATGGGTCAAGCTATACTTGACCCATTTTTATTATATATAATTTAAGTTTTAACGTTAGTTTTATACTTTTATAACTTTATAAACCTAGCCCTAAAATCATTTTAATTTTCGAACATCTTCATCTCTCTCTACTGCTCTGCAAGCCCAAACCCCATCTTCTCCAAACGGCCTCCCACTCTGCAACTCCCCCTCTCTCTTTGAGTCTCTCTACAACCGCAAACGATCAAACCCCATTTTCTCAGCGACTAATCCTCAAACCTCGAAATCTCATAAGCTACTTTAAAAACTGAAAAATGTAAAAAATCAATCCCCCTCTCTCTCATATTATCCTAGATCTATCTCAAGCTCATAGATACAAAAAGAATATTTCTTAGAGAAATAAAGGGTTTCTCAGAGAAATAGAGGCAAACAGGCAAACCCTCTCATTGTATTTTTAGAGGGATCATCCACATTAGTGGCTTATATTGATGATGATGCATGGCTTTTGCAAAAAAAAGTCATTAGTTTTGTATATGTGTCATCTCCTCATACTGGAGATGCCATTGCTACTGTTTTGATGGATTTATTTTTGCAATGGAATATTGAAAACAAATTGTTAAGTGTAACTTTAGACAATGCATCATACAATGACATAGTTGCATCATCTCTAGTTACTCAATTATCTAGAAAGAACACACGTGTACTTGATAGTAAGATGTTTCATGTGCATTGTTGTGGCCATATTCTAAATCTTATTATGCAAGATAGGGTAGAGGAAATAAAAGAGATAATTGATAAGATTCGAGATATTATCAAGTTCATTAAAGGATCTTAAGGAAGGCAAGAGAGATTTAATGAGGGAGTCCAAGTCCTTAGGATTGAAAGCAAAAGAAACATACGTCTCAATGTTCCAATTTGATGGAACTCAATGTACAAAATGCTAGATATTGCCTTCAAGCTAAAAGAGGCAATTTATCGCTTTACTTAATGAGAATCAATGCCAAATTTGGTTCCATCTGAGTCTGGTTGAGAGAAAGAAATATATATTTGTAAATGTTTACAAAAAATTTATGATGCTACAAATAGTTTTTCGGGGTCCAAGTATCCAACTTCTAATATTTATTTCCCTAAAGTATGCGAGATTCATTTGTGTTTGAAAAAATAACGTTTGAACCTTATTGAGTATATTAATGATATGGCCACCAAAATGGAAAAAGAAGTTTAACAAATATTGGATGATATGTTTGCGATTGCATGTGTTGTTGATCCTTAGTCCAAACTTTTATTGTATATTTCTACTACCTAAAAATATATGGCGATGAGATGACACAAGAAATTTGATAGTTCGACAATGGGTTTATGATCTATTTAAATAGTATGAATCAAATGAATCATCTTGTACCAATATTGGAAGTAGTGCAATTGGAGTACAATCTTCTTCCCACATTGTCAATGAATTTCAAAGAGAGAAAGATAAAATTTTAAAGATTCATGCAACAAAATTCTACTACTATTCTAAGAAGATCAAAATTAGACATCCATATCGTCTATCCGGAGGAGATGGAAGTTTTCAATATCTTAATTTGGTTGTGAGGCAATGCACCAAGGTTCCCCATTTTCTCAAAAATAGCTATAGATATTTTGGTAATTCATGTATCCATAGTTGCCTCTAAGTCAACGTTTAGTACTGAGAGACAAGTTTTAGACCAGTGTCACAGTTCCTTTCTTCCATCAACCATGGAAGTATTGACGTGTACACAAAATTGGCTGCAAAATGATAAAGAAGGTAAAATAATTTCGATTTTCAAATTGTTGTTGGTTGATTAATTTTCATATTTGTTGCTTTCTAGAACTAAAAATCTTTTATTATGTCTTTCAGTCTTAGGGGGTACATGTGTGTCATCGACTAACAGTCCCACTTCTTCTGTTGGTGAGGATGTTGAGGACTGCGATTGATGTCTCAGGTATCAATTCTCAGATACTTACCAAAATAAACCACTTACACATAGTTGATTTCTAGAACTGTGTATTGCTTTATGAACTGTGTCATGTGTGTAACTTTGTGCTTAAGCATGAGTGCTTAACTGTGTATTGTGTAACTGTGTGTAACTGACTAATCGTGTGGTTAAGCTTGAGTATTTAACTGTGTACTCTGTAACTATGAGCTTAAGTGATACAGATAAAAATTAGGAAAAATTTTCAAAATTATAGTTTTATTATTTTCTTGAATTTATCTTTTTAGGAATGAGGATTTTGGTGCGTGAGTTTTAGTAGAGCCTAAGTTTTCACCCATGAAGGCCTATCTTTTGGTTTAGGAAATAGATCTTTTAAAAT